CATCACTTGAGGTCACTTGGGTTACTAGCCCTGATTTGTTATTCCACAGCATGATTAAGAAACAATCATCTAGGAAAACACAGATGCACACATCAGTGTGCATGAAAAGGCCCGAGGGTGCTGAGAGCTTGCTGGGTCAGGCGTCTCGGTGGGAGGGTGGGAGGGGAGTGGGCAGGAGGGCAGGACCCGGGGAGGTCTGGCGAAATGACTCCGAGGCCAGCCTAGCAGCACCTCCCCTGGAAGGCTGGGAGCACGCCATCTGGGCTGGGTGGATGCCGACCAACCCGGTGCGTGCCTCCACGTCTTCTTCCAACCAGGTGTGCGACTGCCCTCTATTGGACAAAATGCTTTTCCATTTTGCCGGACAGATGGCTGAAGGGAAACATTGGCTATAAGGGCCGCCTGTTGGCATTAGGCAAGGCAGAACCTTCTAAGTCTCAGTTTCCACATCTATAAAATGGGAGTCATGGTAACAGTATCTGTCCTTGAAAGGGTTGTTATCAGGAGGAAATGAATGAAGTACCACCGTTTTCTACCTTTGCCTGCCTGCTCGCTCTCTACCCTGACATCATCCAGGTCCCTTTCCTGAGGTGATCTTTCACTCCAGTGTCTCTGAACCAGAGGCACGATGATAAAAACAATATAGTCATGTTATTCTAAGCTCTAATAGCTAGTGGCATCTCACTTCTGGTAGCTTTAATAACTTCACAAATGTTTTAAACATAATTTTCAAAGCATTTTTTCTGATAAGCATTTATATCATAATTTAAATCAATTTTCTGATAACTTATGTTCATTGTCTAAATCCCCCAGCGGATTATGAGTCCTCTAAATGCAGGGACCTGTGTGTCCTCTGTAACCCCAGTACCTACCTACCTACCTACTGCACAGCAGATGCCTGATACACAATCTGCTGAATAAACACATAGATGAATCATAAGAGTTGGTGAAGGCCACCAGGAAGGGCAGTCAGATATGGGGAAAAAAGTCCTTTTTCAAGAGTGGTAACATAAACTAATATTAAAAATGAAAAGGCAGGGTGATGACAAAATTTTGGAACTGAAGAGAGGTAGTCGTTGCACCAGTGTGGAGGCACTAAATGTCACTGGATCGTACACTTTAACATGGTTAAGTATACGTTATATGAATTTCACCTCAATAAAGAAAATGATAGGGCAGAATCGTAATATAATAATTACGATCCATGATGATTTAGACATTCTACTTGATAAGTCAATATAAAGAGAATAACTTTGATACAGTGCCTGATGGTTTACGTAAATGTTTCCACATAAGTGATTTCATCTGTTCCTCACGACAAGCCCATGGACTTGCAGAGGAGGAAACCGAGAAGTGCAGAGGTCCCGGCAGTGACTTCTGTTCCTCTGACAGGCCAGACGCACTCGCCACTGGGAGGCGCTGTCCGCGAGTCCTCCTGCCTGAAAAGGACTTCCTCCAAAAAGGACTTCCTCCAAAAAGGACTTCCTACTTCTCTCTCACCTCCATCTGGGCCCCACTTGGAGAGTCACCCCATCAGAAAGGCCTTCCCCAACCACCTTATCTAAAAGAGCAGCCCAAACACCCCACTCTTGTCATTCTCTCTCCCTTACTCTGCTTGGCTTTTCTTCAAAATTCTTAGCTCATATTACATATTGACACGATTTTTCTGTCTCCTGCTTACAGTAGCGTAAGCAACAGAACAGGGATATCTGTCAGTTTTGTTCTCTGTTACAATCGTGACTTCTGGAATAGTGCCTGGCAAACAATAGGTGCTTGATAAATATCTGTTAAAGAATGAATAAGGAGTAGAATTTTACCATGAACCCGGCTGGCTCTTTTGGGGAGCCTAGGCTTTTTAAGCCACACCACAAAAATGAAACTGTAATGTGACTGCGATACAATACCAGTGGTTATAGTGGGAAGCAGCTGCCTTGCATGGGGGGATCAGCTCGGTGCTTTGTGACCAACTAGAGGGGTGGGATAGGGAGGGTGGGAGGGAGACACAAGAGGGAGGGGATATGGGGATATATGTATACATATAGCTGATTCACTTTGTTATACAGCAGAAACTAACACAACATTGTAACACAATTATATTCCAATAAAGATGTTAAAAATAAATAAATAAATAGAGAAAGGTTAAAAAAAAAAACAGTTGTTAGAGCACTATGACAAAGTGCTACGTTGTTCAGGAAGAGCCCCTTCGTGCTCCTCTTGTCTCCAAGGGTGGGGCACCTGTCTGTTGTATCTCTGGCTCAGCACAGTGCCAACCACCTAGTATGGGCACTTGTCTATACGATATCAATAAAACATGGTGGATTCTGGGCAATACAGCCGAGAATGGAAGAACTGACCACAACACGCGTCCGGGACCCACCCTGGGAGTGTACACCGGGGAGTCTCTGAGGAGGAGAGGAAGGAGGAAGGAGAACGTGCTAGGCAGGGGTCAGAGTCCAAGGAGCACCAGGGTACGGCCTCGCAAGCCTTGAGTAATCAGGGTAGAAATGGCTCCTGAGACCAAATTGATCTGCAATGCCAACCCTGTACAATTAATTCAGGCTCTCAGGGAAAGCTTGCAGGGCTGGCCTCTTGACAGTTGGGTCAGGGTGGTCTGACAGGATGGGTGACCCTTGTGAGGTGGACAATGAACCTCTGAGACCCAGTGGCCATCCCAGAATGGTACCCAGTGGCCTCTGAGAGATTCGTGCACAGCAGCAGCAGCTGCCTTTCTTCAGCCTCTGAATCAGTCAGCCAGGCATGGCGGAAAACTGTCTGGGCTCACACCGATTAGCGGCCAAACCCCTGAAGCTCTGGTGTCAGCTCTGTTCCTTGCACCTGTTTGAACCTGTGTCTCTAAGTGCAGTTTTCAAATTGCGAACAAACTCACACAAGCATAAAAATCTATCATTTGTCCAAACTGACTGCTGCCATGGGCCTTGTTGTGTCTTAAATGGAACAAAATATTTAACATGGACAGATACCTGTTTGCCAGTTCTAACTTAATGGTATGGAAACATGTTTTCAACTTTTAGTAAAGTCGTAAAACCTTTTAAAAATGTTCTGAAATTGAATTTCTGCAGAGAATTCCAAGCTATGTAAGCTACGATACACACACACACACACACACACGCATTTTCTCTAGAAGCTTCCTTATAATACGTCCAAAGTACACAGCTCAAAATTCAAGCAAATTATTAATTACAAAACAAATTAAACAAAATAATCACGGCATGATTTGTATAGCTGCCACTACTTTGGCCATTTTCCATGGGATGATTGTATTTCATTTTAATGGGTGCTGGTTTCAGGAACCAGACCATTCACCTTTAGCCTACACTGCCTGTAGGTAACCCTCCTCCCTGTGGGCACACAAGCATGGGTGGGTATTTAGTTTTTCTCAATTCCCACAGCATGAAAGACAAAACAAACAAAGCAAAACACATTACTGTTTTTATATTATATTCCCTAACATTCAAAAAGAGTATTTGGTCATCAATGGAGGCCTCAGCTTGACACGAGATCAAATGCACAAGCACAGCTTGGCATCAAACTGGACCAGCAAACTCGGGCACCTGCAAAGGTGGGCAGGGACCCCAGGCAGGCAGACAGGCTCTGGCCTACTGCAGAGCACAGGAATGCAGACAGGCAGTAAGGGTTGCCGTATGGGCCCAGGGTGGCCAGATCTTCTTACTTTTCAAGAAAAACCAGAAACCCAGGTTTTAATATGAACTCTAGGGTTTTAAACATTAGCAGTTCGTTCTAAAAACTGCTTTAAGAATATACTATCCAAACACTACACGTCTGTGGCTTGATATGGTGCTTGGGCAGCCTGTTCCTGAATCTGGGGAGTAGTAGGTGGTTCCAGTGGGTTCCAGCCCGAATCTGCCACTCATTAACTGCTCCCTGGTTGGTTGCTTCACGTTCCTCCCTTGGGTTCAAATCCTTAGGTTCAAAGTGACGTACCTGCCTAGTCACTTTGATTGACCAGTCCAGGCTCCAACTTCCTCATGTATAAAATGCAGATAATAGCACAACCCCGCTCATATGGCGATTATGGGAGTAAAGGAGATCCTGCAGGCAAAGCACCTAACTGCAAAGTAAGCATTTGGTGATAGATATCAGCCACGATTAGCTGTAAGCTTGGTGCCTCCCTCCTCACTGTCATTCACAATTAATCAGCAAATCCTGTTAAATACGTCTCCTAAAACCCTCTCCAGTCTATCCTCTTGTTTTCATCCCTACTTTCTGTGCCGTAGTTCATAGCCTCGTCCCCTCAACCCTGAACTGTTCCTTACATCGATCTAATGAACATACCTCCTGCTTTACTGAGCAGGGGACTCTGTGCCGGGGAGATACTTAGTGTCCCACTTTGACCCACCCTCATACTGCGCCCAGCTGATTCGATCTCTTGGCTCAGCAAATTACTTAAAGCAAAGATCTGCTGGCGTTATTCTCCCTGTCACCTGCAGAACAAAGGCCAACTTCCTTAGTCCTGCATTCAAGGTTGTCCCCAGGCTCTCCCCCAGCTCACATCCTACCAGTCTCTATAATCCTCTCTCTGCTCCGGCCACACCAAACTACTTTTCTCGTCTTTTCCAGAATGAGCCACACGGCTCCTAGTCATCATACATCAGCAGCACTATTCTTTCTGCTTAGAATGTTTGTTTCTCTTCTTCTCACCCAACGTCAGCCCCTTCTCACCCTTTGAAGTCCAGCCTTAAATGGTCATCTCCACCATGAAGCCTTCTCTGATCAGCCCCCTAACCAGCCCCCAGAGTCAGGCCCTCCCTCCTCTGCGTTTCCCACCACACTTAGTACCTATGTCCCTTCAAGCCCATCACACAATGTGTGGTAACTGGCTTACTGAGACATCTGTCTCAACGTGAGATAGACAGGAGGCCAAGGGCAAGAACCTGGTCCCTTATATTTGCTGCATTCCCTACTAGCAGATGGTGAGTTTTCAGTGCTGGCTGAATGAGTTAATGGGACCAAGAGGGCATTTGAACAAAAGCCAAACAATGATGTCACTTTTAATACAACCTGTTGTTAGAAACAGGGATCTTTGGGAATATGCAAAGAAACAATAATAAAGATACATAAACTCACTCAGGAACTCTCAATTGCCTGTGATGTGTGCATTTCGGTTAAGCTTAGTAAAAAAGGATATTTTATATAGAATGTAAAGTTGTAACTACCCAGATGATTGAAAATATCTGTGCTTACAAAGCGGCGTCACAGCTTCTTGATCTTCACTTTTTCTTCCTGTGGTCTTGGTGGAATGCATCTGATATTCCAGGAGAAAATGTAATCCAGCCAAAGAACAAGTCTGATTATTTGGCTCACAATTTATATACAGCGAGGCGCAATCTGAGAGACAGACCCACACAACCGAAAACTGCTCGTCTTGACCTGGTGCCTGTGCAGGCTTCTTATGAGAAAGGCAACAATTTCTCGGTACTCAGATAATCACCAGAGGAGGCCAGCAGTGGATGGTCTTGGGAAGGCAGAGACCTGGGAAAGAAAATAAACATCATTTTTTTTGGCATTTATGTTCGTAAAAACTTGTCTCTGAAGCGCTCATTCAACAAGCATTCACTGGGACTTCCCTGCTGGTCCAGTGGTTAAGACTCCGCACTTCCACTGCAGGGGGTGAGGGCTCCATCCCTAGTCTGGGAACTAAGATCCTGCACGCCTTGCGGGCAGCCAAAAACAAAATTTAAAAAACAAAACAAAGCAAAAAACAAAACAAAACAAAAACAACAAACATTCACTCAAGGAATGGAAGGGTGGCTCCACGGCCTCACTCCCCGCCCCCCAAGCAGGATGGCAGACCTCGCTTTGGCAGCCTAGGAGAACAGGTTGTGGGGTTTGGCTAGTAAGAACAGAGGCAGTTCAGCAGAGTGGTTTCCCATGCGGGTCTGGGGTCAGGCTGCCTAGGCTCAGGGCCTGGCCCGGGGAAGTTTCTAGTTGGTAGAGCTGACAGAGTGATAGTTTTATCTCAGAGAGTTGTTGGAAGGAATAGATGATAGAGAACATGTAAAGTGCTCAGCATGGTGCCTATGAGATGATTCTGATTATTATAAGAAGTCAGTAAATGTTAGCAATCCTCATTTGTTAAAAAGATCCTACTAATAGGCTTGAGCCTCTGCAGCTTATCTTTGCAACTCTGCCCACACCCAATATCTCTACTTTATTGTCTTAACTATGAGATCAGAGCTCCTAGAGAATGGAAGAAAGAGCAAGCTATAAACTTCTGAGCGATAAATAAGCAGAAATAATGGAGCCAAGGAGAAGAAAACAGCCCACGTACACTGAACACCTGGTTGTGTACAGTGGCTCAAGCATAAAATAGATCTGGATGCTTGATGGCCATACTTGAAGGGAGATAACGAAGGGGCATGCCTTCGAACTGCTGAAGGAAATTCTTTACCTAGACGAGCCTAGGCAAGTGTGGAATAAGACATTTTCAGGCATTTGAGCCTTCAGAAAGTCTGAGATATTCTAAGGAACAGCATAAATTATTACAGTAACTTCTCAATAGATGTTAAATAGTATTGAGACAGGTAAAGTCACTGAATGTGAAGGACTGATTCATACCACAAATACATGCTGAGTGCCTGTGATGTGTTGGTTACACAGTGGACTAGAACAAGTAACCCAACAGACATACGTCATTCCTTCATGGAGCTTACATTCTAGTGGGGAGAGATAGATAGTAAACAACCACAGAAGCGAAACTCCGATTCAGATGAATGCTCCAGAGAAAGAAACTGGGCCAAAAGCCCCAATTTTGGGGTATACAAGAACTATAGCAGATAGAACATCCAGCTAAATGACATCATCTAGACGCAATCAGATAAATCCAGAATGTTGGCCATCTATAAGAATACAGGTCAGAATTCGTTAAAAAGTCAAAGTTGTTAAAAACAAGTGGGAGATTAATGTAGATTAAAGAGTTAACAATCACATTCAACATGTGAGCCTTGACTGGATCCTGGACCACAGGAAAAATTTTATAAAACATATTTTGGGGACAAGGAAGGACATTTGAATATAGATTGAATATTAGATGATATTAGGGAATTATTCTTAATTTTTTTTTTTTTTTTTTTTTTTTTTTGTTACCCTTCTCTTTTTTTTTTTTTTTTTTCCTTTTCGGAGCACAGGCTCCGGACGCGCAGGCTCAGCGGCCATGGCTCACGGGCCTAGCCGCTCCGCAGCATGTGGGATCCTCCCGGACCGGGGCACGAACCCGCGTCCCCTGCATCGGCAGGCGGATTCTCAACCACTGCACCACCAGGAGAGCCCTATTTTTAATTTTTAATTCATTAAATTAAAAAAATTTTTAATTTGCTTAGGTATTATGGGTATGTAGGAGAATGTCTCTATTCTTAGGAGATATATGCTGAAATATATAGAGATAAAGCAAATAGGGCAAACTGTTATCAACTGCTGAATCTAGAAGAGAATATTTAATTGTCTATTGCTCGAATCTTTCAACGTTTCTGTATATATTAAAATGTCCAATATAAAAAATTGGATAGGTCTTCCCTGGTGGCGCAGTGGTTAAGAATCCGCCTGCCGATGCAGGGGACACGGGTTCAAGCCCTGGTCCGGCAAGATTCCACATTCCACGAAGCAACTAAGCCCATGCACCACAACTACTGAGCCTGTGTTCTACAGCCCGCGAGCCACAACTACTGAGCCCACATGCCACAACAACTGAAGCCCACACGCCTAGAGCCCGTGCTCCGAAACAAGAGAAGCCACCGCAGTGATAAGCCCATGCACTGCAACGAAGGGTTGCCCCGGCTCGCCACAACTGGAGAAAAGCCCGTGAGCAGCAACAAAGACCCAACGCAGCCAAAAAAATATATATGTATATATACATATAGATATATGTAAAACTGGATAAAAAGGAATGGAGGAGAAGTAAGCATAGATAACTTTTTGGAGGAATTTAGCTGTGAAGGGAGTGTATTAATTTCCTAGAGCTGCTGTAACAGATTACCACAAACTCGGTGGCTTAAAAGGACAGAAATTTATTCTCTCACAGTTCTAGAGGCCCAAATCAAGGTATTGGGAGAGGCCACACTCCCTGCAGAGGCTCTAGGGAAGAACCTATTGTGTGCTTTCCAACCTCTCGTGGCTATTAACATTTCTTGACTTGTGGCTGCATCACTCCGGTCTCTGCCTCTGGGGTCACACTGCCTCCTCCTCTTCTGTGTGTGTCTGATCTCCTTCTGTCCCACTCCTTATAAGGACACCTGTGCTGGCATATTGGGCTCACCCAGATTATCCAGAATAAGCTCCTTCTCTCAAGGTCTTTAACTTAATCACATCTTTTACCATATAAAGTAACATTCACTCTTCTGCCACAGGGGTAATATTCACAGGTTACTGGGATTAGGAAAGGAATATATCTTTTGGGGTCACTTCTGTGCCTAGCACAGGGAGGAAGAAAAATGGGACAGTAACTAGAGGGGAACATGCGGCCAGAAAAGGTTTTGTTTTGTTTTGTTTTAAGATATGAGAAATTATAGCATATTTACAATAACTGATATGGAACAGTTTGTTGTACACTGCAGTAGCAGTACAATAATACAATTTATTTGTTCATCGTGTTAGCCACTTGCACACAGGAAAATTCATAAAGAAAATAGCAAGGCCATCATCAAAAAGCCTACAAATAATAAATGCTGGAGAGGATGTGGAGAAAAAGGAACCCTCATACACTGCTGGTGGGAATGCAAATTGGAACAACCACTATAGAGAACAGTATGGAGGTTTCTTAAAAAACTGAAAATAGAGTTACCATATGATTCTGCAATCCCACTCCTGGGCATATATCTGAAGAAAACTATAATTCAAAAATACACATGCACCCCAATGTTCATTGCAACACTATTTACAATAGCCAAGACATGGAACCTAAATGTCCATTGACAAATAAATGGATAAAGAAGATGTGGTATGTGTATGTATGTATGTGTATATGTGTGTGTGTGTGTGTGTGTGTGTGTGTGTGTGTGTAATGGAATATTCTCGGCCATAAAAAAGAATGAAATAATGCCATTTACAGCAACATGGATGGACCTAGAGATTATCATACTAAGTGAAGTAAGCCAGACAGAGAAAGACAAATTTCATATGATAATGCTTATATGTGGAGTCTTAAGAAAAAGAAGAAGAGGGCTTCCCTGGTGGCACAGTGGTTGAGAGTCCGCCTGCCGATGCAGGGGACACGGGTTCGTGCCCCGGTCCGGGAAGATCCCACATGCCGTGGAGTGGCTGGGCCCGTGAGCCACGGCCGCTGAGCCTGCACGTCCGGAGCCTGTACTCCGCAACGGGAGAAGCCACAAGAGTGAGAGGCCTGCGTACCACAAGATGAAAATAACAGTTACTCTTTGAGAATTTGATTAAGAACAATGAAAAGGTAACGGAGGAGAACTTTTGTCAAACATGGCAGATTGAACAAATATATATGTTTATCTCCAAACCCCACCAAGATGAAAATAAAGGAATAGATATGGTATAAAACCACAAAGACAAAAGGAGCAGGAGAGCAGACAACAGTGGATCAGAGAGGTCAACAAAATTTTGGAGATGGAGGGGGAACTAACTTAGCAGAGTGTGGGAAGCTGGGACTTAAAGAGGAGAAGACAAACCAAAAGAGTAACAGTTCACTCTACTTGTCCCCCCAAAAGTTCAGGACCTGAAGGGACCAGATACTTCAGGTGGAAGGAGAAAGTCATGGAGCTGAAAACAGGGAAATTGATTAGAAGTCTGTATATAAATCAGTTAAACTCACAAATCCCCTCTCCAGGCCTTTTTAGCCTGGCAATGACCCCTTGCGGGGTATCAGAGGGTTTATTCTTTGGAGAAATTGAGTCTTCAAAACACTGACTCAGGGACACCAGGTACAGCTGAAGGTAGTGGTGAGCACTGAGCTGAAAACAAAAGGACTGGGTGAGAATAGGCGCGCTGAATGTTGGATCCAAAACCCTATCCCCCTTGCCCTGCTGCCAGAACCTCAGCAGTGGTGGCCATGCAAATAATCCCCAGACAGGAGACTGGAGAACCTTCTCTGGAGAAACTGAAGAGTTCCTGCAATGTGATCTACAGATTCTGACATTTGAGGGTACCCACTAAAAAACCCACTTCTCCAGTCACCTTAGAATGAAGCGCATCAATTAACAAGCCCCATCTGTGCACCTAGAGTTTCCAATTAGCTCTGCTCAGCGTCCTGTTCTTAAATATTAATAGACAAATATCAAACATTTGAGGAAAACCTCCAACAACACACACACACACACACACACACACACACACACACTCACACACCAGAAAGGGTCGAAGGGAATTCAGAGCAAACAATGTGAAAACCAGAAGAAAACTTAAAACCAGGAAAATTCCTCAGAGAGCTAAGAGCACATGTACATGAAACAAAAACAGAAATGCTATATGTAAAATAAGAAGCAATCAGTGAACAAGAGAGTTAAAATTAAAAATCCAATAGAAAGGATAAGACAAAGTTAATAACATTTTCTATCCAGAGAGTAGAAGAAAAAGAGGGTGACATAAGTAGAAAAAAAAATGAGTATAATGCAGGCTCCCACACCCTGAAAATCACAGAACATGGGGTGAGAGTGCAGGTTGGGCCGTGGCGTGGTAGAAAACAGGTAATTTACATATGAAAGGAAAACAGATCACATCCATAGAGTTTAAAAAAGAAGAACAAAACTGTACTTTTAAACAGCAGCACTTGGAAGTTAGAAGAGCGTGCCTGTGAAATTCTAAGGGAAAAACATTGCCAACCTAGAATCGCACACCCAGTTAAACTATCAGTCTAATATGAGAGAAGAGTCAATATTTTCAGATAGATAAGGTGTTACAAAGTTTACCTCCCGTGGTTACTTTCTTTGGAAGCTATTAGATGATGTGGTTGACCAAAATGAGGCTGTAAAACAAAAAAGGGGAAGAAGATCTAAGATCCATGCAGTAGGAGAACCAACACAGAAAAACAGAGAGAAGTGTTAAGAAGCTCAGGAAAGCAGCTCTGGAACAAGCCTAGAACGAGCCACCCTACACCAGACCCAGAGGACAAAGGACTCCAAGAAGGAAATTTCCAGGAAAAAAAAAAAAAAGGAATTGATAGATTATCTGTTAGATTTGACTATACGAACAAAATTATGGCATAGAGTTTAACAGCACTTTTGGAGATGGGAAAATTAGGTAGGGGTGTGTAGAAAACTTAACAATTAAAAAACATGAGGCTATTATAAATTTGTGTTATGAGACTTATGATATGATGAAGTTTCTACGCCTTAGAAATTGTATAGACTTTAAAAAGTATGTGGAGGAGAAAGGGTGACGTATTCCTTTCATCCTAAGTATCCCTGACTGCTTTTTGCCACCTCTTAGATCCCTACCCAAGAGTCTTGATATTGATGCCTTGACACTAGATACTCAGAGAATCTTCTCTCTTCCCTGGGGTGACGATGGATGGTGGATGACATGTGGAATACATCAAAGAAAGCCCCAAAGGAGACAGACACAAGGGGAAAAGTCCATGTGATTAGATGCATCATTAAAAGTCAAAGATGGAAATAATAATAATAATACAAAATAATTGAGACCACTTCAAATTCAAATTTGATGTGGAGGTAAGGGGAAGTTGTGGAAATGGTGATCATGGTGAAGTGATTAAAAAGGTGGAGCCCAGGGACTTCCCTGGTGGTCCAGTGGTTAATAAACCCGGAAGCAGGTTTGATCCCTGGTCGGGGAACTAAGATCCTACATGCCGCAGGTCAACTAAGCCCACATGCCTCAACTACTGAGCCCGCATGCTCTAGAGTCTGCGTACCATAACTAGAGAGCCCACGTGCTGCAACGAAGATCCCTGCATGCCACAACTAAGACCCGATGCAGTCAAATAAATAAATAAATAAATATTTTTTAAAAAATGGTAGAGCCCGGGAATTCCCTGGTGGCATAGTGGTCAAGAATCTGCCTGTCAATGCAGGGGACATGGGTTCAATCCCTGGCCCAGGAAGATCCCACATGCTGTGGAGCAACCAAGCCCATGCGCCACAGCTACTGAGCCTGAGCTCTAGAGTCCATAAGCCGCAACTACTGAGCCTGCATGCCACAACTACTGAAGCTCACGAGCCTAGAGCCCGTGCTCTGCAACAAGAGAAGCCACTGCAATGAGAAACCCATGCACCGCATCGAACAGTAGCCTCCACTCGCTGTAACTAGAGAAAGCCCGCGTGCAGCAACGAAGACCCAAGGCAGCCAAAAAAATAAATAAATAAATAAAATTGTATATATAAAAAAAAATAGTGGAGCCCAGCAATTATTCTGGATACAATTTGGGGGCTAGTTAGAGGGAAGATCAGGGAGGCTGGGCTCAGTCCAGATATACAGGGCCCTGCGAGAGGCCTGTCCCATTAAACTGTAAAATTGGCTACATGGGAGAGGAGGGTACAGAAATAGTAAAGGAAATAACTTTAAAATCCAACAAACATAATCACTATTATGGGATTTGGCTTCTTACTTTTTTTCTTCACTTCTTTTTTTTCTTATCTCTGCTCTTGCCTTTGTCACTTTGGAGCCCTTCATTATTCTTTAGGATCCTCTCTCAGAAACTGCACTCCAGCCTGCATCTCTGTCCACAACCTCCATGACCTATCCTTACCCTGCTGTACCTTTCCATTTTTCTCACTATGCATTCTCCTACATCTCATAAACCCAATCATGTGTTAAGCTAAATCCTTCTAGCCTATCCTAAATCCATTTCTCAAACATTTCTCTATAAGCTCCTCAGTCACAGTTCTTTTCCAAGAAACCAATGTCCACTCTTCCTCTACCTATCAACACATTAACGAATCTTCTCTTTCTTCTCAAAATGTTCCATTTCCTTCTTTATCACTCTTCTTCACTTCCTTTGGTCCTGGTCTCCGCCTTCATCCCCAGGAGCTCTTCATTCCCACTCTCTCTTCTCTTAGGCAAAGATGCTCTCCTTTCCCTCTCATATTTACCCCTTCAGGGTCAGTAACGTTCTGCTTGTCTCTAATTTCTCCTCTCTGACTTGCAATACTTCCCCTATCTGCTTCTCTTTCCTTCTTTACCTTAAATCCTTCATCTGCCTCATTCACTGGTACCTTTGTCTATAATCTCTCTTCCATAGAAATGGATTAATCAGTATTATAATTCACTTCATCCAAGACATCCTCCTCAACCCCCACCCCTTCCTCAATCTCTTCATTGTTCTCCTCTACCTTTTCAAAAGGAATGTCCATCTCAGCATCAGTAATTTCTATCAATCTTTCATCACCAGTAACTTTCACTCTTTCAATTTTCTCTTCATTTATGCTCCCCATTCTTGAACCCTCCAATTTCTCTCCACTAGTCCCCAGCTTCTCTCCCCTGGATCCCCGCCTTTCCCCGCTGAACACCAGCTTCTCTCCACTCAACCTCAGCTTCTCTCCACTCGACCTCAGCTTCTCTCCACCTGACCTCAGCTTCTCTCCACTTGACCTCAGCTCCTCCGCATTCTGCCCTAGTTCGTATCCTCTGGATCTCGAGTCCTCTCCACTGGTTCCCACTCCAGTAAACTTGAACCTCTCTTTAAACCCAGGTCCCCCCCTAGACCCCGCTGTAGTCCCTGCATTCTCAGATTCAGCCCCTATTTCGTGTCTGACTTCTTGCTTTCCCCACACCTCCTTGGAGTTGTCTTTCCGCAAACCCGCGGAAGCCTGTACTGCACTTGCTACACTGCGCACTCGTTTCACATCCATCCTTTCCTGACTCCGGCCTGACTTTCCTCTCAAGACTGCCTTTTCCACATCTTCCAGTCTCCAGTCCTCAGACTCAAGCTTCGGGTCCCACATCCTAGGCTTTTGCGTGTTTCTACCCAGGAGCTCCATTCTCTTCCCGATCACAATGAGCCCGTTCCAGGGCATCCACAATTTTTCTCGCATCGTCTGCGGCCCTCTGCTTCCAGGCTCCAGTTGCGACCGCCCGCGGGTCCGCGCCTGGCCTCGGGCGCCCTGGCCGCGGGCCCTGTCGCGCCCCCTCGCCGCCCTTTGCGGCTTACCCAGCCACTCCCTCATGTCCCAGAGCGGATGTCCAAACGGAACCCCTTTCTCCAAAGACATTAGCCCTTAGCCCTTGTCCTCGTCCCTAGTCCGCCCCCTCCCAAAACCGGCTCCCCCTTCCCCTCTCCCACCCCACCCTCCCACCCAGCCCTCTGGCCTGCCGCCCCGCCCACCGCCTGTAGGGCGCGAGACTAGGGTAGTGCGCACGCGCAGGCCGCGCCAGGCCGTTAAAAGGCGCGGCCCAGAGGGGCGGCGGGCGGGAGTCAGCCAGCCTGGGGCGTGGGCTGACGCGACACTAGACCTCTGCGATCCTAGAGTCCCCCCCGCCCCCCGACTCCATTCTCCAAGCTGTGGGTTGTTCCCGGCCCTCTCAGTTCCGCGCTGCCCCTTAAAACCTGGGGCCCAGGCACAGGAACGACAGGCATTGCAGCCAATGGCGTCCCGCACGGTAAACCTGCTACCCAATCAAAAGGCGCGGCTGCGAGGGAACGGCGTGGAACCACGCCCGGCTCCAGGTGACTCCTTGGTAGGGAGGGGAGAGTGCCTCTGTCAGCTGATAGGATCCCCACTGGGTCCGTTCCTCGGGGCGATTTACCGGGGACCAACCTACGGGAGCGCGCGGGCAGTAACCCGCCGCGGAATTCTTGTGTGCTGTAGTCGAGCACGAGAGTGATGGAGGAGCGTCTAGAGGCTGGGAAGGAGAGCAAGGTACAGAAAAGATGCAAACACCCTCCCAACCTTCACCTCACTCCATGATACCCAGTGATGCCCAATCAGGGAATGGTGTGTGTGTGTGTGTGTGTGTGTGTGTGTGTGTGTGTGTGTTCGTGCCCACGCATGAGCTAGAGAAAGGCGAGACCTGAGAAAGGGGGTGGGGCGCTTCCGTGGCATCAGCATGGGGGCTGGTGAGGATGTCAAAGGAGGCAGGGTTTACCGTGGCCCCGACAGATGGAAAAGGACCCGTCACTCTTACTCATCTCCTTCCCAGGACCGACTCATGCTGGTTTGATGGGGAAGAAGGAAGGACGTTAGGAATTGAGAAGGGGCTGGAATACCCTCCTCCTATCCCAAGGTGGGGGAATACTGTTCAGCACTAATGGCTTCACTTGTGTATCTATGTTCATGTAATCATGAGACCATTCATTCTTTCCTCTTGACTGCATTCAACAAATAGTTTCTGAGCATCCTTGTGCCAAGGATGGTTAGGGGTGGGGCATACAGAGGTGCACACTTTCAGGGGTAGGAGGAATGTGCCTAGTGGGCTGTGACTGAGGATAAGGATGGAGCAGCTGTGGTCCATCTTTGAAGTCCTATCTCCCTCAAGCAGTTACCAAGCAGGAAGGAGACAGGGGACTTGGGGGCCTATTGCACCAATGAGCCAGACTTTGGGGGTGGGGGGCAGTTGGACAGAGGCAGAGCCTGCCATGGGGGTGTCGGAGAAGCCAAGAAGTGAGGAATGGGGATCAGTGGAATTTGAAGAAGTGAGAGGGGTGAGAGACCAAAGTATGGAACAGAAAGCATCTGTTTCAGTGTTTATCTATGTTCATATTCATGGTTAAATTAGTTAACACAGGGACTTCCATGGCGGTCCAGTGGTTAAGACTTTGCCTTCCAATGCAGGGGGTGCAGGTTCTATCCCTGGTGGGGGAGCTAAGATCACACATGCGTTGTGGTCAAAAATCCAAAACATAAAGCAGAAGCAATAATGTAACAAATTCAATAAAGACTTTAAAAATGGTCCACATCAAAAAAAAATCTTTAAAAAAATTAGTTAATATATATAAAATGCTTAGACCAATGCCTGGCATATAAGTAGAGCAAATATAAGTGTTAGCTATTATATTACTATTACTGTTACCAGTAATAGTGGATGCTATGTGTTCTAAGGATATACTGGGCTGTCAAACTGATGGGTGCACCCCTAACCTTTGTAGATGCCAGACTCTTTGAAAATCTGTTATTAGACCATGTCCTCCAGAGTAATCATTGGCTTCTTCAAAATTCTCCTATAAATATAGAGAAATGAAAAGAGTAATAAATGAATATGTAAGTAAAAATATAACAGAGAAAATGAAATAACATAAAATACTTGAGTAATCTAACAGAAATCAAGAAAGAAAGAATAAAGCAACTATACTCCAATAAAAATTTATTTTAAAAAAAAGAAAGAAAGAATAAAGGAACAATAAACAGATGAGATGAAGAGAAAACAAAAAGTAAGATGGCAGGTTTATAGCCTACTATATCAGTAATTACAATAATAATGAATGGAACAAAAACTACAGTTAAAAAACAAACATCTGGGCTTCCCTGGTGGCACAGTGGTTAAGAATATGCCTGCCAGGGCTTCCCTGGTGGCACAGTGGTTGAGAGTCCGCCTGCCAATGCAGGAGACACAGGTTCGTGCCCCAGTCCGGGAAGATCCCACATGCCGCGGAGCAGCTGGGCCCGTGAGCCATGGCCGCTGAGCCTGTGCGTCCAGAGCCTGTGCTCCGCAACGGAAGAGGCCACAACAGTGAGAGGCCCACGTACCGCAAAAAAAAAAAAAAAAAAAACCTGCTATAAGGACATAGAAATATTGAAAAACTGATGGAATATGTACACTATGAACACACTAACCAAAAGAAAGCTGGTGTGGCTTTATCAATTTCAGACTGGAAGACAAGAAAGAAGTATTACTAGAAATAAAGAGGAACATTTTATAATGATTAAAGAGTCAATTCAACAGGAAAACACTCCTCAATTTTATGCACCTAATAACAGTTTCAAAATATGCAAAATAAAAAATTACATATGCCGCAGAGCAGCTAAGCCCGTGCGCCACAACTACTGAGGCCTGCGCACCACAACGAAGAGTAGCCCCCGCTCGCCACAACCAGAGAAAGCCCGCACACAGCAACCAAGACCCAACGCAGCCAAAAATAAACAAATAAATAAATTTATATATATATATAATTACTGAGAAAAATTAAAGAAGACCTAAATCACTGGAAAGATATTCCATGTTCATAGACTGGAAGATTCAGTATTGTAAAAATGTCTGTCCTTCTCAATTTGATCTATAGATTCAATGTAATCTCAATCAAATCCCAGAAAGTTCTTTGGGGGTAGAAAATAACAAGCTGATTCTAAAATTTCTGTGGAAATGCAAAGGATCTACAATAGCCAAAATGATTTTGAAAAAGTACAAAGTTAATTCTACCTGATTTCAACGTTGCCTGTCAATTACAGTAATCAAGAGAGTGTGATATTATCAAAAGTATAGATATATAGATCAGTGGAACAGAATAGAGAATACAGAACTGATTACACTTATGAGGTCAATTGATTTTCTACCAAAACAAATCAATAGTGAAAAAATAGTGTTTTTAAACAAATAGTGGTAAAATCACTGGCTATTTATAGGGCAAAAATGAATCACAACCCATACCTTACACTGCATACAAGATGAATTAAATGGATCATAGACCTAAAACTGTTAATTTCTAGAAGAAAAAAATAGGAGACTATCTTCATGACCTTGGGGTAGGAGTGCTTCTTCAAGAGTACACAAACCAGAAAAGATTGATATGTTGAGCTTGTAAAATTATAAGCCATTAAAAGAGTGAAAAGGCAACCCATAGAGTAGGAGATATTGGCAAAACATATAACTGACAAAGGGCTTGTCTCCAGGATATTTAAAGAGTTCCTACAAATCAGTAAGAGAAAGATGATCTGATTTTTAAAAGAGGATGGCAGGGAGGAGCCAAAGACATGAATAGGCACTTTACAAAAGAAGATATCTGAATGTCTAATAGGTACATGAAATGGTGTTCAATATCATTTCTCACCAGGGAATACAAGTTAAAGCCACTCTGCACTATTTTTTTTAAAAAAGATATATTTATTTATTTGGTGGCACTGGTCTTAGTTGTGGCACGTGGGATCTTCGTTGCCACACGCGGGATCTTTGTTGTGGCATGTGGGATCTTTTTTTTTTTAGTTGCGGCACGTGGGATCTTTCAGTTGCGGCATGCGGGATCTAGTTCCCTGACCAGGGATTGAACCCGGGCCCCCTGCATTGGGAGCATGGAGTCTTAACCACTGGACCACCAGGGAAGTCCCCACAATGCAGTATTACTGTACCTCCACCAGTAAGGCTAAAATTAAAAGGACTAACAGTTCTAAATGTTGGCAAGGATGTGGTGCAACCGGAACTCTCATTCAGTGCTGGAGGGAGTGTGAGCTAGTACAGTCACCTTGGAAGACTGTTTGGCAGTATCTATGAAAGCATTTTAAACACACGCCTACCCTCTGACGAAGCCATTCCCGCACCCAACAGAAATGAGTACTTAGGTCCCTCAAAAGATATACGCAAGAATGTTCATGGCAGCTTTATTCATAATAGCCCCAAACTTGAAATAATCCAAAAGACCACCAACAGTAGAATGGATAAACTACGATATGGTCATATGATGGAACACTACACAGCAGTGAAAAAGAAACACTGCACTCAATGACATAGATGGGTCTCACTAAAGAACATGGACACAAAATAGTATATACTGTGTAACTGCATTGATATGAGGCTCAAGGCCAGGTAAAATTAATCTATGGTGCTAGAAGTCTAAGAGCGGTCCCACAGTGTCCCAAATAAGTGCTAAAGCCTGTGAGAGGAGAGAGGGAGGCGTCTGGGTGTGAGAGGTGGGCAGGTGTCAGTTTATATACTGGTGAGTAGTACTTGAAGGGAGAGTGGCTTCTGAGCCTCTACCTCTCTCCCTAGTACCTCTTGGCACAATGGTGTGGACATAGCAGGTGTTCACTAAATGCTTGTTGAGATAGCTCAGTGTAAGAATGAACTAGTAACTTGGTGCCTCAGGGATCTTTTCACTTAGAGAAAAAATACAAGTACTTGGCCTCCAAGTCAGTGCCTCTTGGTACCAAACGTAGTGAATGCAATGGTCTCAGGAGCCCCTCAAAAGGGGTGGGACCATCTTATCCAGCTCACTTTACACCTGGTGAAAGGTACCTGAGGTAACCAGCTGAGAAGGGGTGGCCCGGTAACTGAGGAAGTGCATGGGGTTTGGAACCGAGAAACTCTGTTCAAATCTGGCCCTGCCGCTTTGCACCTGTGTGATCTCGGCCAAGTTATTTCACCTCTCTGGTGGTCACAGCTTCCAGGCCTGTCAAACGGGGAGAGTTCTGCCTACTTCAGAGGATGGCAGGGTGGGAAAGTGTCATTGTGAATCCCTGAGCAGTGACTTATCAGGATCCCTCGGGAGGTGGGGGGGAACAGCCGGCGACCCCAGGGCGTGGTGGGAGTAATGCTGCTGAGGTGGGCTCTGCAGGAGGACCAGAAGCCTGCGGCGAGGGTGGGGGGGGGGGGGGCGTGGTCAGTCATGTCAGGGACCTCCCTTCCCCCACAGCCCTCCTCCATGTCCCCGGACCTGCAGGGAGACAGCTCCTTACAGGTGGAGATCTCTGATGCCGTCAGAGGAGTTCATCTGGCTACACAATGTCTACGTGGAAAACGAGGAGTACGCTGGTCTCATTGTGAGGAGGGGCCGGCCTGGGCACCGGGGGGAGGCCGGGAGGCTGGGCCAGGCTTCGGGGTGCGGGTGACGGCCTTCTCAACGACGAGAGGACTTCCAGCTCTGTCCCTCCTTGGAGCAGATCCCCCCAGCCCCTCCAAGGCCAGACTTTGAGGCTTCAAGGGAGAAACTGCAGAAGTTGGGTGAGGGAGACAGCTCTATCACGCGGGAAGAGTTTGCCAAAATGAAGGAGGAACTGGAAGCGTGAGTGCCGCCTCCCGTTCCTGTCTGTGACAAAGCCCCAGCCCAGCCTCTCCTGACAGCCCCAGGGTTTCTCCCCTGACTGTCCCCTGTGGATGCTTAGGACCCTGCTCCTCGCTCCAGGGCTGCCGAGGGGGAAGGGGGCAGGAGGGGGGAAGGAGCCAGGGAGGGCCCGCGAGCTGCCTGCCGTCCTCTGCAGGGAGTATCTGGCCATCTTTAAGAAGACAGTTGCGATGCATGAAGTCTTTCTGCAGCGCCTGGCGGCCCACCCCACCCTGCGTCGAGACCACAACTTCTTTGTCTTTTTGGAATATGGCCAGGATGTGAGCTGGGCCACAGAGCTGGGGTCCCCCCGGGGGTGGGGGGCAAGGCTCTAAGTGGGCTCAGGCCTCTATCTCATCAGCTCGGCGAGTGGTATATGCCGGGGGTGGGAGGTGCAAATGCCCACCCTGACGTCACACCTTCCCCACGTGTGCCTCAGCTGAGTGTCCGAGGAAAGAACAGGAAGGAGCTCCTTGGGGGGTTTCTGAGGAATATTGTGAAGTCTGCAGATGAAGCCCTCATCACTGGCATGTCAGGGCTCAAGGTGACTTGGGGGGCCCCCTCTCTGGATTCAACCCAGGGCCTCAAGTCCCCAGCAAGGATTGAGACCCTGGGTCCCTGTGGGAGGGAAGCCACTGATGGGGCCCTGCCTAGAGGGAGATTGTGCCACGCCCGGGAGCCCGAGACTGCGCTGCTCCTGGTGACTCGGTGTGAGTGGGTCCTGTCTGGCTCCCTTAGGAGGTGGATGACTTCTTCGAGCATGAGAGGACCTTCCTGCTGGAGTACCACACCCGCATCCGGGACGCCTGCCTTTGGGCAGACCGAGTCATGCACTCTCACAAGTGTACGCAGGGCCCCAGGGGCCCTGGATTCTCCCCAGTGGCCCTACTCCCCAGGGGAGAGGAGAGAGCAGGAAATGCCCTGTGTCTGTCCGTGGCCACAAACACCAGGGGTGGGACTTGACGTGCAGACCGAGGGGCCCTGACAGACGGCTCTTCCCGTGCAGACCGAGGGGCCCTGACAGACGGCTCTTCCCGTGCAGACCGAGGGGCCCTGACAGACGGCTCTTCCCGTGCAGACCGAGGGGCTCTGACAGACAGCTCTTCCCGTGCAGGCCTGGCATATGATTATATCCCCACCTCAGCTGCACTGAGCAGTCTGGGAACACAAGAAGTCAACCAGCTAAAGACGTGAGGACTCCCTCTTGCCCCTCTGCCCTCTTTCTTTGCCCATAATACTGTGTCTGTCCATGAGGGGTCACTCCATGGAAGCCTACTATCAGCTCTAGTGGGAGATGCAGAAGCTTCTCCTGGGCTTTGGGAGAGAAAGAGAGGGAAGGTTCACCAGGGCAGGGAAGCTTTAAGCAATCCCTAAGACCCCTGCCCTAACTCCTCCCCACCGCCTCCTAGGAGCTTCCTCAAATTGGCAGAGCTCTTTGAACGACTAAGGGTGAGTACTGCCTTCTGTGTTGAAAGGCCACCCAATGATCCTTTGCAGGGAAGAGAGTGTCCCGGGAGAGGGGAAAGCTCCAGGGTCATTTTGGAATGTTCAGTGATAGCTTGGACTCAGTGAGGCCCTGGACTCACTCTGCAGACTAGTTTAATAAGAGATGGAGTGGAGACAGGGATCCAGCCTCAAGTGTGGGTGTGTGGTGATGGGGGAGGAGGTGGGAAGTGGCTTGGCGAGGCACTTACAAGGATGTGCCACGTGCCTCTGGCAGACTGTTCCGTGCTGCCAGCATCCTGCCCCAGACACGCTCTTCCTGAACTCCTCTCCAAGAAAGTCACCAGTGTGCCAGTCTTCCTAAAATGTCCGTTGGATCCCATCTCTTCCCTGCTCAGGGCCCTTCAGTGATCCTATCCCTCCTTGAAACTACCCAAGACACAAAGCCCAAAGTCCCTAGCTTGCATCTTAAGCCTGTTGTGATCTGGCCCACTGCTGCCCAAGTGCCCCACTGAACTTATGGTTCCCTGAAAACATACCAGGCTTGCACACCTGCAAAGCCTTTGGCTGTCGTCTAAGCCCTGCTCAACCCCCAAGATCCAGATCAGATGCCACCTCCTCTGTGAAGCCTTCCCTGGCCTGCTCCCCTGAACCACAGGGCTTGACATAGCGTGGGTATCAAGTGACCCTACTTGGTATTTAGATGAACAGCAGCACCCCCAGTCCTTAGCTACCCCCCCACCAGCTCCCTCCCCAGCCTCCACTTTCCTGATTCAGAAACTGGAGGGCCGAGTGGCTTCTGACGAGGACCTGAAGCTGTCGGACATGCTGAGGTACTACGTGCGCGACTCACAGGCAGCCAAGGTGAGAGGTGGCCCCAGAGCAGACCTCAGGGCTGGAGCCACCAGGGAGGGCGGGCAGGTAGGCAAGGGCCGTGGCCCAGGGATCCTGTGCCCCTGCCGGCCCCAGGACCTGCTGTACCGGCGGCTGCGGGCGCTGGCAGACTATGAGAACGCCAACAAGGCACTGGACAAGGCGCGCACCAGGAACCGGGAGGTGCGGACCGCCGAGAGCCACCAGCAGCTGTGCTGCCAGCGCTTTGAACGCCTCTCCGACTCAGCCAAGCAGGGTAAGCCCCACGGCCCTGGAGCCCCTGCCACTGCACTGCTGACTCTGCCGGGGTCCCCATTCCTCTCTTCTCCAGAGCTCATGGACTTCAGATCCCGCCGCGTCTCCTCCTTCCGCAAGAACCTCATCGAGCTGGCGGAGCTGGAGCTCAAACACGCTAAGGTGAGACCTCCAGCCTCACCGAGCCTTCTTGCTGCTTTCCTGGCCTCCCACCGCTGGGCCTCTAGGCCCTTATCAAGTGTCTTGGCGCATGGGGGGTGCGGTGGAGCTCGGGGGAGGTCAGGCTGCCAGGAGCAGCCCCAGCTGTTCAGGACCACAGTTCCCCATTTTGGATCAGGACCATTCCCTTCTGTCATTGGTAGTGAGGCCTCAATAAATGGTAGCTGTTACTGCTGAGGACAGGGATGGGGACAGAGGGGCTATCCAAGGTGGGGTAACAGAGGGGGTAGCAGCAGATGGGAGCCATCAAGAATCTCTCCTCTGCAGGCCAGCACCCTGCTTCTCCGGAACACCCTTGTCACCCTCAAGGGGGAACCTTAGAGCCACCAGAGTGCCCCCCGACCTCCCACCCCAGCAAGATGCCTCCTTCCCCACCCCAGGAGCCACTCACCATGCCCCGTGACTTCTCGGGGCAAGGCCTACCCCTACCCCAAGGTGCCAGGCCCTGCAAGATAAGGCAGCATGGGCACCACACTTGGCCACAGGTAAGCAGAGCCCTAACCTGGGGAAACCCAGGGGCCCTGACATCCCTCCCCAGAGGCTATGGGGTAGCCTCAACCCACCTCTGGCCCCCGAGTTCATTTGTCTCCAGCTTGTTCACAAATAAAAAGCCTGGTTCTGTAGCAAGGAGGCTTGCTTGTCCTGACTTCCCAGTTGGAGGGCCCACCAAGTACATCCTCTATCGGGGCACCATGGTAGAGACCAGATCCTGGGGGAACACGGCAGGGGACACCCCTGCAGTGTCTTCAGCCATTTTTCAGAGTGCCAGTGGTGCTCTCTGTGGGAAGGTACAAGACCCAGAACTTGGAATCCAGGAGCAGTCTTCAAGGCGTGCCACCACCCCCATAAACCCTGGCACAGACCACGCATAAAACAAATTATAAATTCTCTACACCCATTTCCTAATCAGTAAAATGGAACTACCCCTTCCTGCCTCCCTACCAGAGATACTGGCAAGCTCCAAGGAACTAAGGAACCAGCTCTTTAACTCCAGGAGGCTTTTTTTAGTTGATGGCGGGAGGCGGGGGAGGGGGCAGGGTATAAATCCTCCATCACCACCACCCCTAGGGCAACACTTCCACCTTACCTACAAGGCAGGTGAAAACCTAAAGCACAGGGCTGGAAAAGAGCCCACAGCAATGCCAGCAAGAAGGTGGGGCTCCAGCCAACACTCTCTTGGTTAAACACAGGAAGGTGGAGCCCGAAACACCTGGGTCTGAAGTCCTGGACTCCACCTGGCTGGCCCCACCCTGGCCCCCAGCCACATCTGCAGAAGGCCAAAGACTCAACCTGGCTTCGGACTCACAGCAGCCACTGGACCCAGCCCTCATAAATGAGTCAGCCATCCAAGGGAGAGAGCAGAGCAAAGACCAAATACTGAAGGTGGAGAAAAAGCTCAAGAAGCAACCAGTAACTTGTAGTCTCGGGGCCCACATCTGGGAAAGACTGCACAGGGGATCACAGAATGGGCCTCACTGTCCTACTGCCCACCTGGGTCAAGGCAACAGAAGAAACCAGTTCAGGGATTAAGCCCCTCTGTTCAAGGAACCCCTGCAGCCAGCAGCAGACACACCCTGGCTCAGCTACCTTCCAGGCTGGTGCCAACTATGACGCCAGGATATAGAGAGGAAACTGTCAGAAAGGAGGCTCAGCTAGTCACTGGCACCAAATGAGGGTGTGTGGGGCTGGTTGGAGGGAGGGTTAGGGAAGAGATGCTGCACATTCTCCCAGCCTACCCGCCCCCAAGGTCCCCCGCGCCCCAACCTCGAAACAAACATCCCATTAGTGAGCCTTTTTATTGTTGTGTGTTTTTTTTTGTTTTTTTAATTGAGGGTCCCTTACTGGTCCTGCTTCCATGAGTGGCTGTGACCAGGGGCAAGGGGGAGGGGAACCAGGCGGCGCAGGGAGGGGTCATCTCCACAACATTCCATTTATACACAGAACTAAACAGACAAGCACAGAGTCACTATTGTGGTTAGAAGTTGGCAGCATGGGAAAAGGGAGGAACAAGGAGGGAACTGGGGTGTCGTTAAAAAAAATACAGGTCCCCCCCAAACAGGGGTTCCTGGGGGGAACTTGGTCTGTTTCAACCCAAGAGGAATCAGAAGATCAAAAGCGGTTTGGGAAGGCCAGAACCGTCAGGGATGGAGGGAGGAGGAGGAAGGTCCAGGGGGTGGGGGGGCTGTTTGGCAACTGGGGTGAAGGGACTGCCCTCCCCCTGCTGGGATCCCCCCAGCCCCTCCGGTCTGGCAGGAAGGGGGCAGCCTGCAACCCCCATGGGCAGGTCTGGGGCTGCCAGATGCTCCAGGCAGGGGGCTGGAGGGGGCTCACAAAGGCTTGCCCTCCAGAGAGATGACGGCGCTGCCCCCCAGCTTCTCTGCCAGGGTGCAGCGGTCCTTGACCTCCTCGTAGCAGTTTGCTTGCAATTCATGCTTGATCCCTGTGGAGGAGAAGGGGGAGCATCTGTGAGAGGGAGCCCTGGGGCGGGAGTGGGTGTGCTGTGGCTGGGAAGGAGCCAGCAGAACAGATGGCGGGATAAGGCTACATCCAACGGGTAGTGAAGAGGAGACAGAGAGAGAGGGCTCTCCTCCACCATGCCGTCCACCCCACCCTGCAGCCAAGGCCTGAATGCAAGGGCATACGGCACCACCGGCGCTGGCCCTTACCCGTCAGCTTCTTCTTGATGGCGTCCTTGGAGCTGGCGTAGATCATTTTGCTCTTAAGGGGTGCACACTCAGGGGCCCTGGAGGGAAACAGTATCAGAGAACTTGCCGCAAAGCCCCCTCCTCCAAGTCTAGCAAGTGCCCTGAAGCGATACAGGACTTCCAGAAACCCCTGAGCTGGCCCCTAACGTTCAAGCTTTTAACAAGTTCCTCACTGACAGGCATTTTATTACAACACCCTCCCCTGAAACGCACACCTCTGGGTTAACAAGGAGCCACAGACCTTCCTGTCCTGGGAAAGCAGGGTGGGGCAGAGCTACAGCAGGTGACAGGAAAAGGTGCCTGCAGGAGAAGCTCACCAGAAGATGAACACCAGGTCCTCCTTCTTGCTCTCCTTGGTCTCATAGGTTGCGTCATAGAGGGCGTAGCGGCAGTCCTTGTCTGGCAGCATCTTGACAAAGGTGGTGTAGGGGTCGTCTACAGTCTGGCCCACATCACCTACCAGGATCTCCTTGCCCTCCTCCAAGATGATGTTCTTCTTGTCCTCGCTCAGGCAGAAGAGCACCGCCTTCTTGCGCTTCTTCACCTCCTCTGGTGTCGACGACTTACGCACCTTCATATCGTTGAACACTTTGATGACCCCATCAGAAACAGCCACGCCAGAGGCCTAGAGGACGAACCACACGCACCTCATAAGGAACAAGTTTCTGGGACGTACCCTGAAGTCCCTCCTTTGCTTTCTTAGGAAATTTGTCTAGATGTCAACAAATATAGTCCTCAGCCCCAAGAGGTCATTAATCCCCTTCCCAAGACAAGTATCACTAGTTTCCCACCCAAGTCACTGTCAAAGGATCAGATGTGACACAACCCCAGAAGAGCCGCCACAAAAGAGACCTCTGATCACATAATTCAACACCATTCCTCCCCACTCCGACACCCTGCAGGCTAGATTAAAGACCTGTGAAAAGCAAAGTCTTGGCCAAGATGTGAGCCCAGAATTAAAAGAACCTACAGACGCACGGTACTCAGTCTCAGTTTTTGCATAGTGCTGACTCAGAACTTCACAGAGAGTAGAAGGGGACCCAGACAACCAGGTCATAGTCATCTCTAAGAGAGAACCAGGACCCACAACGCTAGAGGAGTCACCAACGGTGCTCAACAGTTCTAGCAAGCCCATCAGAACTGCTCAACGCAGTTATCACACAAGGTATCCCTTTCTCTGCTGCAGTCTTCCTAAACCAAAGCAAGAACAACAAACCCCTAATCACGGCCCTACCCGACAACTCCCTGTTCTCCGGAAAAAAATGCAGGCCCCAAAGGTCGCTGATAGAAGTTAGCAGTCCAAACTCAAGGGCCCACGGTCCGTGAGAGCTCTTTAAACTTCTATTCTGGGTCGTGTTGGGGGCCACCCTAGCCAGGAAAGGGGGTGAAACTGTCCACGGTGAAGTCTGCCCCCGCTCCCGGAACTGCAGAGGAAGCCGGCCACGTGATTGAGCCGCTTCCGGAGTAGGCGGGGAAAGGAGATCGGCTAGACTCAGCCCCCTCCCCGAAAAAAACCCGTACCTAGAGGAAGCAACACCTCCAGGGCCTCAACCCTAAGGAAGCGCCCTTACCGACAAGCTTATCGCCCCCCTGCGCTGCGGGCCTGGACAAATTACCCAACCTTCGGCTCTCGCAGCCCTCGGGCCGAACACAGGGGACGGGGTGGTTTCCGGGCGGTGCCCGCCTGGGTCACTTCCCTAAACTCGGCTCCACCCTCAGGCCCCATCCTGGAAAGCCGACAGCCCCGCTGGTCCACGGCTTCGGGCCCAGCAGCCAGGCCGGACCGTGTGCGCACGCGCCGGCCGACAGCGCCGTTCCAGCCTCCGCCGGGTGTAGTCTGCGAACCCAGCTCGCCTTGTGGGCTCGCTAGCTCCCGAGCACGGCCGTGATCTCCGCGCTGTCCGCTCTGTGCTGCGCGGTGCAAGTCTCTAATCCCAGGCGCCTGCGCCCGGACACCCCCGCATCCCCGCTAGCCGCGCCGCCCCCGCCCCTTGCGAGCATCCCTGCCACCTGCTCTCGAGACAGACCCGCCTGGGAGGGAGGGTGACGCGGAGACAGGAACAGCCCCTGGGTGGGGTACGCGCGCCGAGACCTATCGCGCGCTTTTCCTTCGCCGCCCCCGGGCCAGGTTTGGATGCCGCGTGCTCCCGTCGAGCGCGCCCCCGTGAGCCGACTCTCTTCGGCCCCGCCGCGGCGCGCGACACCGGCCGCTCAGCGAGGGACGGGCGCGCGCGCCCTGGACCCCTCCCCCACGGCCCTTGTCCGCGCGGGCGCAACAGCGGGGTGGGGGAGGGGAAGGGAGTCCAGGGGGCGCGCGAGCGACGTCCAAGCCGGCCCTCACCGGCGCCCGCGGGCGCGCACGCGCGTCCCGGCGCCGCCCGCCCCTCAGCACGAGACCCTCATCCCGCCCGGGGAGCTGGGGGAGGGGATGCCGACGTCGCTCCCCCGTTCCCTTTAGCGCGCGCAGATGATCGACCCGCAGCCGCCTCCCCTCCGGCGCCATGGCCTGCCGCTCACCATGTTTCCGGAAGAGAAAAAGAGATAGCAAGGAGAGCCAGAAAAGACAAGAGCCGCTGCAGCTGCTGCCGGGATCCGACTGAACGCGGCCTCTCCCGGCCCCTTCCGTTTAGTACGAGCCGCACAATGAGGGGCGGGGCGGGCTTCCGGCGCTCCCCCCGCGGGCCGACGGGAAATGAAGTCCGAGGGTCCTGCGCCGTCTTCGGGCTCGCTGGGTAAGAGAGTCTTTTTCACCTGACGGCCTCCCTACTCCACGTTGCATACTGGGAAATGTAGTTCAAAACAGCCGAGAGAGGCGGGGCTATGGCACGGAGAGCGCACCCGTTGGTCGAATTTCCCAGGAAATGCTCGGAGCTGAGCGAAGGCCTCGGCGTTGGGTAATATGACCTGAAAATGAGCCCCGACTTCGCGGCTCTCTACCTCGGAGGGAAACGGTTTTCCTAAGATCCATCTTGGCACTATCTGGATCCTTTGGTCTGAAAATTTTCAGTGAGTTAGTATTTTGGTTTTCCGAATTGAAGCACCTATTCATTGACCTGGAATCCAGCCCTAGAGCAAGGAGAATCGCTAGTATAAGGCACCTTCTATCCAATAAACATTTGTTAAGCATCCTCCATGTGTAAAGCCACTCTTGTCTACTGAGAAAAGGCCATATGCAACGTCAATAAAATAAGAGAAAAAAACGCAAGGGAAAGGCTACGAGGAAATCTTTGAAAATAGAGATTTGTACTTGTTTTTAGGGTGTTTGGCAAAATCATGAGGTAATAAGCCAAAATCATGAGACAGGGGTTTGTGCATTCAATTCAAGGATTATGTGCCTTTTACTAAACAGTGAAAAGCGGAAATAGATATTAAACCAAACTTGAGTCTCATTCTCGAGTTGGTAACCAGGCATATAGTTAATTAGTACCGGCAGAAATTGAGACAGAAGCTCTGTGGGAGCATAACCTTCAAAAAAAGAAACTGGAGTGGGGGACTCCGGGAAGATTTCTTTGGCCTCGAACAAAGGCCATGCCCTCTTACTCTGCAGGAAGAGAAGACAGGGTCGCAAACAAGAGAATTGGGGGCGTTGATCCCATATGCAGAATAAAGGGTGTAAATGAAGAACCAGAAGGCTGGGCTTCAGGACCCGGGGAGCGACTCCCGAGAGTGGGGTACGTCGCAGAGCATGCTGGGGGTTGTAGTCGGGGACCTTCCGCCGCATCGCCCACCAACCGAGCTCCCGGGAGCCTCAGGTGGGGGCCACAGCTCAACCGCCTCACGCAAGCGGCTCTGCCTGGAGAGGAGGCTGGCTCCACCTTTTTTGAGCTTCGGAGTTTCCTAGAGCAACGACGAGGGGGAGGGAGACTTCGCAGTTACCCTGGAGACGCGCTCCCGCCCGCCCCTAGCTGCGGGATGCCCTAGATGTCCTTATTAGGACATGAGGCTAGAGGGGGCGGGGCCAAACCGAACGCCCGCTGGAGGCTCCTTATAAGGCAGCGTCGGGCGGGAGGCGGGAGTGTGGAGCAGGCTGGGGGGGGGTGAGGGATCGAGGCGGGGCGGAGTTTGAAGGGGCGGGCCTGGAAGCTCTGGCGCCCGCCTCTCCGCTCCAGTAAGGCCTCAGATCCGCACCTCGCCACTTCCGGTGTAGCAGATGAGGGCTGCTCTAATTTGCTGGCGAGACCCCTCTGCATAGTTCCCATCTTAACCTCCCTGAGGGTCCCCCACCTCCAATGAGTCTCAAAAACGATGAAGTGGGGCTTCCCTGGTGGTGCAGTGGTTGAGAATCTGCCTGCCAATGCAGGGGACAAGGGTTCGAGCCCTGGTCTGGGAAGATCCCACGTGCCGCGGAGCAACTGGGCCCGTGAGCCACAACTACTGAGCCTGCGCGTCTGGAGCCTGTGCTCCGCAACAAGAGAGGCCGCGACAGTGAGAGGCCCGCGCACCGCGATGAAGAGTGGCCCCCGCTCGCCGCAACTAGAGAAAGCCCTCGCACAGAAACGAAGACCCAACACCAGACCCCAAAATAAATAATAAATAAATAATTTAAAAAAAAAACGATTTAGTGTTTTCCCCTTGTCCGGGCTTCTTACTCCCAGGCTGCTACCCCGAATCCAACAGCGTGACCACTTCAGCCCCTCCCACATATTCCGATGTCCAGTACCTCCTATTTGTTCCCTCTCTACTTGTCCTCTGTCCCCCTCTCCCCGTCCTGCAAGCTTTGGCCTTCCCTGCGTGTCCCCGACTTCGCGCCCCTCCCCCATGGAGGCCCCAGCTCGGGATCACCATTTCCTCGGAGGGTCTTTCAGCTGCTCTCGCGTTACCTTCGTGTCCTCATTCCCTGTACCTATTCCTAATGTCCCTCCGACAAAACTACCTTCAACCCATTTCTTCCCCCACCCCCCCGGACTCTTCATAAGCCCAGTCTCTATACCGGCCTCCGCTAGAGCGAGCCTGAAACTGACAGCCTTAGGTTACTCGGTATGCACCGCCCCAACCAGACCTCCCAGCCACAGGGCGGCGCTGTCCACCTTCCTCTCTCCTGCACAAAGAGGACACCCCCACCCCCACCCCCGCTCTCGAATCTGGGGTGGGAGGAAGGGGCGGGTCAAGGCCTGGGGCGGGCGGGGCGCGTCCGAAAGGCTCGTCCTGTCCCGGGGCGGCGGGAAGGCGAGAGGCGGTAGAGACTGTGCTTGGCACCGACCACTTGGAGTAGTACAGGGGCGGGGAGGGCAGCAGAAATCAGTCCTCTTGGTTAGTTCCCCGCATGGGACCACGTGATTGGAGAGGTCCCGCCCTTCTCCGCCGGAACCAGGTGTTCGAATCCCGTCTCCAGAACTAGCGGCATTTCAGTCCTGCCGGCGTGAGGGCTGGGGCTCACGCCCTGGGGCTCATGGCAGCGCCGGTCCGCCTGGGCCGGAAACGACCGCTGCCCGTTTGCGCCAACCCGCTCTTCGTACGCTGGCTGACCGAGTGGCGGGACGAGGCAGCCAGCAGAGGGCGCCGCACGCAATTCGTGTTTCAGAAGGTGGGTTCTGGCCGGGCCTGATGGGGGACAGGTGCTGGCCGGGCCAGACAGCCAGGTCCACCCTGACCCGGTACTGTACCCCTACCCCGCCAGGCACTGCGCTCCCTACGGCGGTACCCACTGCCCTTGCACAGCGGCAAGGAAGCTAAGATCCTACAGCACTTCGGAGACGGGCTCTGCCGGATGCTGGACCGGCGGCTGCAGCAGCACAAGGCATCAGGTGGTGAACGCTGGGAGCAGGGGTCGGTGGTCCCCTGAGCCTCCCTCAGATGCAGCTTCTGTAACCACCTGGGATACTTTGGCTTCAGGCTCCCTGCTCCTATCCAAGTTGCTGTTTGACGTGGGGCTAGTGGCTGACTTTTTCAGAACCTCACCGCTCTCACCAACCACTTGAGCTGGCCACGTCCCAGACCATCCTACCTGCTGGATTCCAGGGTCCAGGGTTGACTCTCTTCTACTCCCGCAGGTGACCACGCCCCATGTTCACCACCTGGAGCGAAGAGTCCAGCCCGGGAAAGGCCTGCCAAAGTCCAGGATCCTTACATGCCAGTGAGGAGAGGGCAGGGGGGGTAGAAGGGAAAACGGGAGCACCAGGAGTAAGATTTTCTGGCTTGGGGGACTTAGCTGGTCTGGGTCCAAATCCCACCAGTGACACCTGGCTCTGGGCAAAGGACTTATTCTGTCTGATGCTTAATTTTCTTATCTGTAGGTGTAGATAGTAAGTTATAATAGAGTCAGTTGAGAGAATTCCATGATCAAGCTATTTAGGGGGCCAAACCCAGTAAGTTATGGGATTTGCTGTTGAGTCTTGTCTTACCTTCTCTGTCCTGTGCTAAAACTGAGGCTGGGCCAGGCCGCTTACACCCCTACCCCACCCCCCGTTCCCTGAAACTGTTCACCGTCTCATCCCAAGTTTGCAGGAGATCATACTATCATATGGCCTATTTTACAGATACAGAAGCTAGAGAGGCAGCTGAGTAATTTGCTCAGGGCCATTTAGTCTGCTGAGATAGAACCTGAACCTCAGCTTTGCCAGGGATTGCGTCTGCAACAGCTGGCTGGCTTTTGGCTTCAAAGGCCCCCTGTACCTTTCAGGGTCCAACCCAGCTCAAAGCAGGAGGCTCTGGCAAGTATTGGCCAGCTCGGCACTCGGGAGCTCGAGCAGTACTGCTGCTGCTGTACCGGGAACACCTGGTGAGCGCCCGACCAAATCGGGAGTCTGGGGAACTGAGGCCACAGGCCTGCGGCTCCTGGGGCAGGCTGCTCGGGCACTGAACCTAAGTTGGTTACATTTCTGCCTTGGTTACAGAATCCTAGCAGCCACGGCTTCCTAACCAAGGAGGAGCTGCTGCAGAGGTGTGCCCAGAAGGCTCCAGGGGTGAGCACTGAGAGGGGGAAGGAGGGAGCCAAGTGGCTCTGGATCTGACCCTGAGCCCACCACAGGCTGCCCTTCTTGGGAGCAAGCAGCGGGGTGGGACAAGGGAGGGGGCAGGTGGTAGCCCTGGGAGCTCTCTAAGGGTCTCCTCCCGTACGAACAGGTGGCCCCTGGAAGTGCTCGGTCCTGGCCAGCCCTCCGCTCCCTCCTCCACAGGAATCTGGTCCTCAGGACGCAGCAGCCAGCTAGGTGGGGAGAACGACGTGAGATGCAGGAGGCAGGGCCCGGGGAGTAGGCGTGCCGTGCTGAGGTGGCCCTGCAGCCTGATGTGTACTTGTTGCCGACCTGAGGAGTGGCCCTGGGCAGGTCCAGAGGCAGCTAATCTGAGGGGCGAGAACATGGCTAGCAGGAGGAGTGTTGGGCAGCCGCTGGCCTTGTTTGTGAAGTGTCGCCACGGCTGGTGAGACCAGCCTAGCTGGGGGCAGGCAGGGGAACCCGCCAAGTATGAGTGAAGAAGGGAGATCTGTGTTCTCTTTTTCCACCCACCAGGTACTCACTGACCCCAGAGGGTCTGGAGCTGGCCCAGAAGCTGGCTGAGTCGGAGGGCCTGAGCTTGCTGAGTGTGGGCAGTGGGCCAGAGGAGCCCCCTGGGGAGGAGCCTGCGGTGCCAGGAGCGGCCTCAGCTGAGCTGTGAGGAGGGGGAGGGGGGAGAACAGGGGAGCAGGAATCGTCCCCAAAATGAGGCCAGG